GTAGTAGTAGTAGTAGTAGTAGTAGTAGTAGTAGTAGTAGTAGTAGTGGTAGTAGTAGTAGTAGTAGTAGTAGTGTGTGTGCCCCTTGTAGTCACAGGGATTCAGTTGAATTGTTTCTTCAGCAGGGGCGTGTGGCACTCTCGCCCTACCACACGCAACGAAGCTGTGGGCGAGAGTGGGAAGGGAAACTTGGCCAGTTTCCTGTACCTGCTGTGATGATTAATTACTCCAATCTACAGGCCCCTGCTTGTAACTAGAACAAGACCCTTCTCCTGGCTTCGGTTTGCAGTCAAGAGCTAATGAACTTACCGCCGTTTTGCAACTTTGAGCTATGAACTTGACTTTGGAGTTCATGAACGTTGAGCTTTACGCTTTACACTTTGAACTTGGAGATGAGTCACAGTCCTGCGCGCGCGTCGTCAACCTGTCGCGTGATCGTCGATGCTATTGGTTTGGTCACCTGTACCCTAGGGAATGGTAACCTAGGCCGGCGTGTGGCACCGCCGTCAAGTCAGTACGCATTTCCATAAGTGTGTTTGGCCTCGTGCCAACCCGGGATGAGCCCGTAGAGTGCCTCCCGTGCGCCCGTCGAACGGGGGTTTGTCGTTATCTCCCCTGCCCGGAGATGTAAGTGTCCGGAGCGGACAGCAGATGGCTTACGCCACAAGAAGTGGGATGTTTGTCTCATCTTTGGAATTCCAAGTTGGCTCATGCCTTTATGCCTTTACGTGACCGCAGCGGTCAGAGGTGGCCGCCCTCGGGCATGCCGTACGTGGTCGCAGCGACCGAAGTTTGTTCAAGATCCATTGGAACCTGTCGCGAGCTTAGTCCCCCCTCCTTCCCCTTCCCTCCCCTTTCTTTCCTTGCTTTTTGGGTTTTCCTGAATGGGAGACTCAGGATCACCCCTTTCTTTCTTTGGTGTGTCCCTGGACGATTGTTCCTAGCTGGGAACACCTGCCTTTTCCTTTTCTCTCCTCTCCCTTTCTCTCTCTTTCTTTCTTTCTTTCTTTCTATCTTTCTTTCTTTCTTTCTTTCTTTCTTTCTTTCTCTCTTTCCTCTCCACCTTCCTTCCTCCTTGGGTGTCCCTGGATGCTTTGTCATAGCTGGGAACCCTTCTCCGCTCCTCTTTTGGTGTGTCCTTGGACGCATGCGTCGTACGTAGCTGGGAACACCTTCCTTTCTTCTCTTTCCTTTTTCTCGTCTCTCCCTACCCCTCCCTCCTGTCGGGACCTTAGATTGGGTTGCTACTGTCGATACGCCTCCCCTCGGGGAGGCGTGTGTGTGTGTGTGTGTGTGTAAATCTTGGAATCATAGGGATCCTCTTGGATTTGTTCGGTTTTCCTTTTTACTTTTAACTTCATGTCGAAGCAGGGGGTGCCAGGGACCGTGCAAGTCTGGCACTAACAAAGACGCTTGCGCTGGTCTGCGAAATCAATCCGGGACGCCGGATTGACGTACCTGCCGAGAGAGAAACCTACGTAAAGCACAAGCTGTCTACTTCGTTGTTTCCTTCAGTCAAGGGCTACTGCAGCGGCGATGAACTTGATTGTTTTCTTTTGGAGTTGCTGGCCACCTGAAACCTTGGGACCTCCGCTCAATGGACCTCCTCTTCCTTTTAGGTTTCCTTACCTGTGCCCTTAGGAATTGGAACCCTAGGCCGGCGTGTGGCACCGCTTTCAGTTCAGTACACAATATCCTAAGTGTGTTTGGCCTTGTGCCAACCCGGGATGAGCCCGCAGAGTGCCTCCCGTGGACCCGTCGAACGGGTGTACGTCGTTATCTCCCCTGCCCGGAGATGTAGACGCCCAGAGCGGGCGAAGGTGGCCTAGGCCGTACGTACGATGATTTTTGTCTCATCTTTGGAATTCCAAGTTGGCCCATGCCTTTACGTGACCGCAGCGGTCAAAGCAGCCAGCCGTTTCGGCACGGCGTACGTGGCCGCAGCGGCCGAAGTTTGTTCAAGGTTCATTGGAACCTGTTGGAGCCTTAGCTTCTCAGTTGATCCTTTCCCTCTTCCCGCCATGTTTCCCTCTCCGGCTGGTCTCAATCCTGTGGACGGCGTCGCGATGAGGGCCCAGACTATCTTACATCGAGAAATTCTTCACCTACATGGTTTGGTGATCCTTGCCATTTCACTTCTTCGTACCCGATTTGCTACCCTTTCACCCTCTTTCCTGGACTTCGTTACCTCACCACATCTTCAGGTGCAAATTCGAGGACTTGACTCGGCGATTCGACAGGCAACTCAGGCCATCCAGACCGGTGTGCACTACCTTCAGGAACTCCTCACCACCTTTGGTATGAGACACACCTTGAACTGCGACACCGCTCAACTGGATGCTGAACTACGTGGACGCACGACCTTCCCTGACCCTCGCCTTCCCTCTTTTCATCCTTTCCCTGTGGACTCACCTACGACTCGACGTACGACATCTACCAGTTCTACTCCGGCTACACCTTCGTTTCCACCAACGAGGCCTCCTGCAAATCGTCCTCCACATAGACCATTGGTTACTACCTCGAACCGGACTCTCTCCATCGCCGAGTCACGACCCAGTACTACTCGTTCTCGCTCTCGGTCTCACCCTCGTTTGAACCCTAGGCTTTTCCCATCACGAGAGGAAAATATCCACTCAATTCCCGTTCACTGCCCACCTTTTCCTTTGAATTTGGACTTTCTTTCAACTTTACATTCTGTCAATTCTACATTCTTGATTATTTGGCTCTCAGCTTTCCCACGCTCTACACCTCCTCCCTTCGAGCCCACATCTTTCGTTCCCTCTCGCAGCCATGTCTGCATCGTCTACGACGACCTCGACTCACCCTACGGGATTGGCACCAATTGCCGGCCTACCTTCTGCCGCTCATGAGGTACTTCATCGTGAACTTCTCCATATACACTCTTCACTACATTTGATCCTCTTGATCCTCCGCGGACCTTGGGCTACTGTCTACCACTGATCCTGCTCCTCCTCTCATCTTTCATACCTCCACTCCTGCTTCGGTTCCTGGATTGAACTCGACCCGCACGCCACGGTCTCGGTCACCTTCTCGGTCACGATCCCCTCCGAGACGATTCCGATTTTAGCTGACTTTCTCACTTACCAGACTACTCGGAGCTTTGGCAGTACGGAAAACACACCTTTTATTCAGACGCCACCTTGTTCACCTTTCGTCTTTTCCACTTTTTCTCTTCGATATTGAACCTCCCATTTTCCAATTTCCGGCTTTTCTATTGGGCTCACCAGCGATCACTCGTCTCGCTCCTTCGTTTTTCGCCGCTTCTTCGCCGCTTTTTCTGCCATGGCTTCGACACCTACACCACCCTGTGGTCTAGCTCCGATTCCAGGCCTTCCACCTCGCGCTCAAGCAATGCTACATCGCGAACTTCTACTTGTACATGTTCTTCTGGCCCAGATCCATTCACTATTGCAGGTCCCACTCTGCATTCGTACCTTTCCCTTTATGCATCGGGTGACACACCCACAACTTCGGGCTCACCTTGAAGGTTTGGACAATACGCTCCTCTTAGCCCTTCGCCTCAACCACACTGCCGTACACTACACCCACGAGCTCCTCACCGCCTTGGGCCTTCTTCATATTCTTCAACAGAGCCCGGAACAACTTGAAGATGAACTTGAAGGTCGCACTGATTTCGGCGATCGAGCATCCCTCTCCACATTGCCTCGTCCTCCTCATTCTACTACGACGTCATCGAGGACTACCAGGACCCACAACTCAGCTGACCGGATGCCTCCCTCTTTGGACTCAGCTGACCCACCCCATCGCCGTGCACCTCGACCTCGTCTTCATATACGCTCGA